GCAAATCAATAAATTTGTTGTTATAGATCTGCCCTTCACAAATGCAGTTTGATTACTACTAACCAGCATGCTCAGCACTTCATTAATCCTCTGGGTTAAGAGTTTTGATATCACCTTGTAGATGACATTACAACAAGCTATTGGCCTATAATCACTGACAACATTTGGGCAACTCACCTTCGGAACAATAGTGATATTGGTGGCATTAATTTGCTTGAGGATTTTCCCACTGTCAAAGAAATCCAACACAGCGGCCGTGACATCATTTTTAATTATTGACCAGGCTGCTCTATAGAACCCTGAAGTGAATCCATCAGGCCCTGGTGATTTGTTTGAAGGAATTGAAAATAGGGCAGTCTCCACTTCCTTAGCAGTAAATGGCCTGCATAACTCTTCTGACTCTTTAGTAGTTAACACTCTGCCCCTGCGGATAACATTCATATCAACTGCTTGAACACCTTCTTTTGCCTTTCCAAACAAGTTTTGATAAAACATTAAAAACTCTTGTTCTATAAGTTCAGGCTGAGTCACTCTAACTCCTTCACTGTTCAGGATGGAGTTAATAGCACTTCTATGCTGTCTTTCCTTTACTTTCGCATGAAAATAAGCAGAATTAGAGTCCATCTCCTTTAGCCAAATTACTTTAGCTCGCTGGGCAATTACGGACAGGTTTGCTCTCTCAAGCTTTGTTAATTCACGTTGAAGTTCCTTTTCCTTTGCAGCCAGAGTCTCATCAAATAAAGCATTCTGCATGGAAGCTTGAACATTTTGTAGCTCTGCTGCCATATCTTTTATTCTTCCCTTCAAGTTTCCATATCTATTTTTATGCAGCTGCTTCATCTTCTGTTTTACCAATTTCAATTTTTGCACTACAACAAACATAGGGCAGCCCTGAACATCCACACTCCAAGCTTCCCTAACCAAATCAAGGAAGTTTTCATCCTTAGACCAAGCATTGCAAAATCTAAATGGCCTTGGTTTCTCGTTCATCAATGCATCCACAGTCACTAAAGAGGGTGAGTGATCTGAGGATTGTGGGTTTAGAAAGACAACAGAAGTATTTGGAAAGGTATTTTAATTTTTTTTAATAAAAATTTATTAAAATGACGTAATTTTAAAATAATTTTTTTATAATTTTTAAGAGATAAAGCGGATACACTATACTCAATATATAAATAAAAGAATAGCTTAAGAGAAAAGTTTTCTAAACCAAATAAGCTTAAAATAAAACATTAAAATGTAAAAACCTCTCATTTTGGTGAAATATAAGTTATGAACTTATGAAGGCCCAATGAGGGATACTGAAAGGCCCCAGTGGCCCAATCAAGGATAAAAGGCTAGTTATAGCAAATTTGA